GAGTTTATCCTATAGTAAAAGATTTAATATAGATGTCACCAATAAGAACTGCATCTGCTGATAAATGTAAGAAAGAGACGATTTTTACTTTTTCTTACAGTATATCATTATGATTTTAAGCAAATTATCCTCTAACTCATGAATCAGAGAATGATTCAAAATACATGAAAGAAATGTTTTCTAATCATTGTCAAATTAAACAACAAAAATTGTATACCAAAGAATCGGTTTAGCTATGCTACGAATAACTTTTCGGATTTTTTTCTAGAGATCAAAATAAAAACAAGCAATACATGCTGCTTTTGCAAGATCAAAGCTTTAACTTATTATTAATTAGTATTTAATCCGAGATAGCTTTACTTTTTTTGTTTTTTTTCATATTGAATTGATCGAATTGCATCATGATGTCGAGTTAGTTAGGTTTTGAAGAATAATTTCGATTATTTATTTGTAGATAAAGTAATGCAACCAACAATACCTGTCGTACACAACACTAAAAAGAGTAAGCGTTTATAATGATTTTAATTCTATTAGAAAAGTATCCTTGTATACGGTACTTTGAATTGAAGAATCATTTTCAAGGAATTTTTTTAAACTTATTCGAATATCAATATTCTTCTTTTCATTAGACAAAGTTTGGCTTGAGTGTCACTTTCATGATATCGATCAAAAATCGATTAAGAAACTTGTTGAGCTTCGAATCACTAGGAAAGACTTTGCTTCATTGTCCAACATCAACGCTAAACTGGTAGATCGTATCGAAGGCTCGATGTTGGGTTTGGCTATAGGTGATGCTCTTGGTGCTTCTGTTGAATTTAGACCTAACAGTTATTTGACAGCTAATCCAGTCAAAGACCCAGTAGGAGGTGGAACATGGGGTCTGAAACGAGGACAGGTAAGGAATATTTTGACATGAAGTGCATAGTAGCTTGCTATTATAGTTCACCGACGATACTTCTATGGCAGTTTGTTTAGCAAATTCTCTAATTGCCTGTGGAGGTTTTATTCCATATGACCAATTAGTTCATTACAAGTGGTGGTTTCGACATGGGTATATATCATCGACCGGTCATTGTTTTGATATTGGTGCAGCTACTCGACAGTCTATTCAAGAATTCGAACAGCGTCAAAGAAAATTTGCACATGATCATAACATTCCTTTAGACAAAATAGACTCATTATCTGATCCTGAGCTTCTTCAAGCATTCGATGTCAATTGTAGCAAAGACGACGTGGCTGGCAATGGAGCCCTGATGCGTGTCGCACCTGTACCTCTTTTCTTCTATCGACATCCGAAAGTGGCTATTAAATATTCAGGCATCAGTGGTAAGATCACTCATGGAGACGTGAAATCTTATGATGCATGCCGTTATTATGGAGCTCTCATTGTGGCTGCTCTCAATGGTGCCAAGAAAAGGGAACTGACTAGTAAGACATTTTATGAGGATCATCGAAAATGGTTCGATAATCAAGACCTTCATCCTGATATTATGGCGATTGCGCATGGATCGTACCAAAAACCAGGTAGTTATCAAGATGGAATACGAGAAAAAAGACATATCGTTAATGCTCTGGAAGCTGCATTGTGGGTGTTTTGGAGTGATGAAGATTCTTTTAGGACAGGCGTACTTCATGCTGTTAATCTAGGCGATGATACAGACACAACGGCAGCTATCTACGATCAGTTGGCCGGTGCTTACTACGGTTACAAGAAGTTGCCAAAAAAATGGCTGAAATGTATCTGTGCCAAAAACTTCCTTCGATGTGTGAGTAGCTGGATTGCACATGAAGGTGAACAATGGTCTAGAAATCAGCCAATATCAGAGTCAAGCGAGCTGATAGATTCTTCTGACTTCGTGTCGTACAGTTCGAACTTACGTGCTTCTAGTCTCTCGACGCAACAGTTATATGCCAGCTTTAAACTATCATTGGATTCAGACATGATCTCTAGCGTAATTCTTCGAAAGGCAATCGATTCTTCTGGTTCTATAGGACATCTTTATAATGCATGGCAAGATCAGTTACTGCCATCACCATACATTACTTTGGATGTAAAGAAAGATTGCTCAAGTCCATTGATAAAATGCTTGGTACATAGTGGCGATAAGGTTGAGAATCGAAATATCCTTCGACTCATCAACTTTTCCGCTGATCTCCGATTGAGCGTATTATCGAACTTGGTTGAACCAGCAGGTATCGCTTCTGTCGTCGACTATCCATTCATAGTTGATGATTGCACTCGCATCTTCTACTATTCTTATTTGGTTCGTAATCAAGCTTTACTCCACAAGAGAACTATTCAATCAAAAGAACTTAAAGCTCCTGCCACTCATGTCATTATTGCTATTGATCAAGGTATTCATGTTGTAATTTTGTTAAAATTACCAGTTCATGATATTAAAGTAATCGATTAAGCATGAAACAAAACTTACTGTTAATGAAAATGTTCTCAGTCGAATTCTTTCTACACACGTCTATTCGAACTTGCCTCATTTCGCTAAGCAAACAACAATAATTGATGTGTATCAGGAACTTCAAAAAATGGAAAACAACCGTGACAATTATAAACCGTGTAACTGTGTCCATTATCCCTTCAATAAGCTCTTTTTAGACTCTAATGGAAATGATACTACCTTTATTCCGATTGAGCCGAAAATTGGGACTAGAATTGAGGATTATTGGCTTCATTTATCATCTGTACAGAAAATGTGGGCAACATTTCTGGATGACGAAACATCCAATATTACGCAAACTTATTTAAAGGAACAGTTTGATGTCTTACAAACCCAAGTCTCGGAATTAGAAAATCAATATAACAAGGAAACGACACAAGCTAGAGATTTGCTTCTTAAATTTCGTGAAGGTAAACAGTCACAAGAAGATTTTCAGCGTGATTTGTCGATTCAAGCAACAGAAGCTAATTGGAAGCGTGTCATCGACAGTGTCAAGCATGATCTGAGAGCTTTAAAAGAAAAACGAGATTTTATCGAAGGTTTAAAAAACCGAGGATTCGATTATTGGAAAGCTGATAAACTTGGTATTAAACATGATGACGACGAACATGAAATCCAACACAGACTAATTATAGATAATCGGCAACAATGCTTTGTATGCTCCAATGACAATTTAAATGCGATGTACTGGCAGGAACTACAGGACATTTATGAAACATTGATTAACGAACGATCGAAAAATTCCGATCTAAGCCTTATTTATGTCGATTTCACTTACTGTTCATATGAACTTGATATGATAAGAGTTTTTCCACCGAAGAATTCTATGCCAAGTATTAATATGAACCAATCTTTGACGTTAAAGAAAAGAGAATCGCATAGAACTGCAATGAAGTCTTCTAAAAATCAGATGATAAATATTGTTCTAGTGGGAAAATCAGGAGTAGGCAAATCAACACTAATTAATACTATTGCCAACTGTCTACAATTTACAACATTTCATGAAGCAGCATCGAGCAGATCTGTTCTGCATGTATTTGTTTCATTCATGTTTACATTAAAAACTGAATATGAATCACATTTCATTCAACTTGGTAAAAATGATCCCAATGAAGATCATAGCCATCCTGGTCAATCTACAACTCAGCGTTGCAAATCTTATACTATGGATGTTAATAACGGACAGAAGTTATGTATCATAGATACTCCTGGTTTTTCTGATATATGCGATCGAGCTCACGATGATATCACGATGCAACACATATTATCGTATATATCGAATCTAAGCCATTTGAATGCCATCTGTGTTCTCATGGAGTCGGATGATTCTCAGCTCACTTCCTATCAACATCATTTGACACAGCTGCTAAATTTTCTTGGGCCACAAGTGCATAATAATCTGTTCTTTTGTTTCACTAAATATCTTTCAATTTTGGGTCATGAAAGGGATGATAAAATTCAAGCACAACTTCAATCACTCTCGCTTAGCAACATACCAGTGAATCATGAGCATGAGCACATATTATTTTTTGACAGTACCTTCTTTCTTCATTTGGTTAAAACACGTTGGCGCATTCCTCATCAGACAACATGTAAGCAGCGTTGGTCGATTTCAAAGAGTACACTGGAACACCTCCTAAACTATATCTCTCAAAACGATCATTCATATCTTTTACATCAAAGGTTACAAAGAGCCGAATATGCCTCACTGGAAATTCGTCATTTGGTTCGTCCAATAATGGAAGCAATGCGAAATATTCTTCGAAACCATCTGTTAAGCAACTTCGGATCCTTCCCGAAATTCATCGAACTGCGTCCGAAACCAATTCAACGACCGTTTGCTTCATGTTTTTCATGCGATCGTCCGATTCGACGATACAGTGGCTTTTGGATCATGTGTGATGTTTTGCATGAATGTCGAAGCAAATGTGGAACTTATTTATGTGATCCAAAGTAGCATAGTATAGTTGACTATCAACTCGACTACGAGTTAACAGATAGAATACCCTACCCAGCGAATGAGTTATCTTCTTTTTATGAAGATCTTTTCTTGGCAAGCATTTACTTTGCCCATTTCCTTTTACATACCATTCATGATCCTAAAGGTGATCCATTCTTGGCTAGTCTTATCCGTATGATACATGAAGAGAGGTATATTTGTGATACCAGACCAAATCATCAGTTTAATCTAGAGTTGTATAGAAAACTGCTGAAACTGAAAACTGATCGTCGAAAAGAATTGTTGTTACTACAAAAAGATGAACACAACAGTTTGATGGCTGTCAACGAATTCATAGAGATTGTTAAGAGTATACCTATGGTACAAAAACAAATGGATGCTGCTCGAGGAACGCATGATGCTTCTAGTTAAATCTACAGATAGTAGAAACCAATAATGTAGCTAATGGCTTTTTTACTTATTCTTTCTAACTGTTATGAATTATCGTTGTTACAATAAATTTATTTTTCAGATCTTTCATTAATTTGAACTCTAATGTGTCTAATTTATATGATATTGTACCGTTTTAATAAGCGATGCTTCAAATACAGCATGAAATTCTGAGCGATTTTTTCCCATAACGCTATCAAACGGTTATATCCCATATAAATTTGGTTTTGTAACAACTGATGTCTTACTCGCGACATCCTAGTTTAGTAATTAAGAAGAAGAAGCCATAAAACATCGATCTGTTGGAGCAAAACAAGTTTGTGATATAAATTAACGTAGATGAAAGAAAATTTATCGACTTATTTCTAATCAAGTAGCGATCACCAACGTTGAGCAGACAGACAGATATATTTACTCAGGACTTCATCTTCAGATCTTAGGACATCTATAATACTCAAGCTAATCTGCTACTTCCTCATGTTTCTTATATGAGCTTACAATAGTGCGGTGTATTTTTTAGGTTTATCCAATAAAGCATTCGATATTAGATGAATCAAAGGAGCCAAAATAGATGAGAATGATTTCAACAGATTCTTGATTGCTTCCTTGAGAATCTTTAAAAAAAGATTGAACGTGCGTTTCTATTTCCAATTTCCTACTAATTGTTACGACCACATACAATTAGAAAATGAAAGAATAGAAAACAGGTTTTACTCTAAAATTTAATTGTTTAGTACTTCAAAATATCTTTTTGAGACATGTTTACCTTATGATCAAAGATATGCTTAGCAGAATCAAGTAATTTTAATTTTTCACTTCACGTCCATAAATAATGGGTGCTGTTAGCACTATAACAATTCATATAGAATCCTTGCGAAAAAACAATTTACCATCTGAAACCGAAAAATACACCTATATCTTGCTATTCTATTCAGAAGGCAAAAGGACACTATTTCTTCTTATTGCTTATAGGTACAATATCTAATAACTGGATATCTTGGTTAACGATCCAAAATTTATTTCATCATACAAATATATACACAATTTGAATGTACTCAGATAGGTTACACCATCGACTACTGTTGCGATACAAGATGTATTCATTCGCCTCAAGAAACACTGTCTTTTTGCACTGATTTGTATTTCTTACTATTTTAAAAAGTCTATCGAAGCACTCCATTTATACAATGCTCAGAATGTATAGGTATGTGGACATTGGGGTATATAAGTGTAAACTATTTCCTTACGCACACCTACACCCGAAAGAAGCGTTAAAATACTGGGAAGAATCTGGTAAAAAAATCAACCGTTTAAAACAATTGTGAACATTTCACTTGCAACGACGAGAATTTCAAATTATTAACCGAGAACATCAAGTTCCATCGACCATGATTGAGGAGTTTCTGTACCAAGGTACTATCGAATACATCAGAGGTGAAAATTTACTAAAGAATCTGGGCATTTGACATTTCATTAATATGCATTATTTTCTGTTGAGCCAAAATATTGTTAACCTTTTTAATGTTCTTTAAGTCAACATGAAAGATGTTCTTGATGCTAATGTTCAAGAACGAACAAAAAAGTTCTAGTTAATTGTAAAGAAGGTATTTCTCGTTCGTCTACAATTACGCTTTGCTAGCTATCAAAATATTTGAAATTGATTCTATTTTTAGTTACTGATTGTCAATGACTGATCTTAGATACTATTTTGATACACTTCATAATGTCTACAATCTATCGTCTAAAAGTTCTGGATTCTCGAAGAAAAAATCGTCTGCTTTATTGGTAATCTCACTATTTTCGAATTTTTTCTGGTTCTACAGATTCTCTGTAATTATAATTTCCTTTAATAGACCACTTTTGAAAGAAATCAACTTTTGTAAAATTTTCAAAACTACTATACTATTGTCTATTGCTGTGTTGATTGCTTGTGCTGTTGAGTAATCTATCAAAAAGTGACAATGCAAAATATGTTTATTTTATTAAAAAGTCAATCCCATGAAAGCAATCATTAAAAAAAATCATGTTTGAAAATACTTTGTAGATCAATAAAAATATATTATCAGATTGTGACAAGAATTAACATTTTATCATTCCCTTGTAACAAACATTTCACTTATGTGTCACAGAACTACAGCATCGTTTCTTTTCCATTCAAAATAGTATTTGAAAAGGACTAATTTGATAAATATAGACTAGAGATATTTTTCTTGTTGATATCGAAGCAGAAGAAAAATTCGATAACATCTTAATGAAAGGATTCTGATAGGAATACGTGTTTCTCAGTACTGAAAATCAAAAATCTATTCAAGTTGTCTTTATTCTAAGGTAACTATTTAGAAATAGAGAAAAGAGAATCTTACTGGAACCATCGATTTAATTATCACGATAGAAAATTTACAGTTCAAAATCGTTAGAGACGTCAGTCATGAGTTCAACTTAGAATTCAACATTGTTGTATTTCTGTGGTCATTTTTGTCGTTAGTACAGTCGTTTATTTTCAATCTTTATGAATAAGGCAAGCGATTACGAATATCAAAGTAATCATCGTCTGAACACATACCGATCTCAAAGCGCTTTAATTTATTTTCAATTGGCCATAAGATTTTAGACATACCGTAGCAAATATATTGTGAGAGAAGTGAGTGTATCAGTTGTGCCTTGCTGAAAGAAATATTCAATTACTTTACTGGAATCATCATAAAAAGTCATTGATCGAAACCGATTTAATTGACGACTACAGATTGGGTAATGAATTAAACCAGTCTTATTCATATTTAAAATTTTCATAGAAATTAAGAAATAGAACATTTGTTGGATGAACAATTTCATAAAACCATTGTGATTGCTTTGTAATATATAAGTAAAAGTCAACTTCAAATCGTTCATACACATTAATATATAAATAGAGATACTGACAAGCCGAACAGATTGAGATGAGGATAGTTTTACCATTACAGTGGTCATGAATAGGATGAAGAGTTTCAACAGGTATTATATGCAAAGTTACATGAACCATTGCAATAGTTCGAATGAATGAAACTATGTATAATTATCATATACTATAAGAGGATTATTCTCTAGAAATATGCTTATATTTATTTTCAATAACTTTTAACGGGTAGACTATCTATTGATAGTTGTAAGAAGTTTTAAAATACAGACAATTTTACTTAGTCCTAGCTTAACGCAAAGGCAAAAGTACTTTATAATAGAAACCAGATGATATTTTTTTTTGTCTAGAATTAGAATTTCATATGTAATTGTGTGTTAAAAATAAATGTAGCAAAGTTACTTACATATTGAAACCTCAATATATTGTTATTTCTCAATGTCTTTTGTTGTATGTTGTTCATGGGGTTCTTTGATTCTGTAGCATTTCAAGTTGTGTCATAAAACAAATAGTATGTATATAGGTGAAAAGAAATGAATAGTGAAAACAAGTTCTATTTTCATTTGCTTATCATAACAGAAAAAAAAATCATAAAAAAACATGTTATTTTGTTTTCTTGCAAAAAAAAATGCTTCTCAGTTTACTATTGTGAGAATAACATTAAGTCACAATTCAAAGTTAAATATTCTAAATATATGCAATTTTCATCAATCGAAAAGAGAAAAAGTATTTTCATAGACTACTTTTCACATGATCCTGAATTTATCATCCTACACAACTGGAATAGGGTGTGTAGATGGAACTATGGGCATGTATTTTTTTTCGCTGTCCACACCCAAACATACCCTTACTTTTATTGATTAATACGAAACCGTCAGTGACCGATTATAATCTTCAACTGAATCTAAAAAAATCGCAATTATTTGACTTTGATTAGCTCATTATGCCTTAAACCAATTAAAATCATTTATGTTTTCATTTTTCTGTTTGCTTTTAAATAGGATCTCTCTAGGCAGTTGTTCAGACGGTTGAATACTAAGACATTGTACTAGTCAAAAAAGCATAGCTTTCCTGTGTGTTTTTGTGGAATACATATATACGTTAAGGACGGGTCATGGAAAAGATCAATGAGTGCAAATTTTTTCTGTTCCATAGCAAAGAAATATTTTCTTTTGTCTCTGTCGTAATTGTTAGACCACAGTAGAGAAACGTGTCGCACTCGATGACTCGAGAAGAATATAAAGAAAAAGCAAGAGAACAGTCTTTTATTACTTTTAACAGATATGCACATCATTTTAAATGTACTTAATAGGCGAAAAATATGAAGAACTTGCCATTGTAGTTACAGTGCATTTTACATTTGAGACGATTTCGTATGGATTGATTTTATTAGAAATTAGTTGCATGTCATCAAGTACGATCGAACATAGCTTGACAAACTTCACTTAATACAATGGAAGACAATTGAAGAATACGGTTACCGATTCCAAAATTACTTAAAAATTATTTGACTATCCAACACCCATCCAATTATACATATAAAGACAACGTCTACAAATGATCAAATTGACTGTTGAGTCGTCAGAGCAACTAATGTAAATCTTGAAGAATAAATTATTTAATTCAAAAAGATGCAAATGATCTGAGTACACAGATTTATTATGAGAGTTTGTTTTTTGTTTTCAATCTCAAATTTTTTCTTTGCTATTATTATTATTGCTAGCCACAACAAAGTATATAAAGATATCCATTCTCTTTTCCATCTAGTCTTTTTCTCACTGTTTTTCTGTCTTGCATTGACTAATACTCTGCACGACTAAACTCTTTTTTTTTCTTTCTCTCATTTTCTCTCTATGATAGTCGAGATATCTACAGTTGTTACCGTTCAATTGCTCAATGTAAGAATAACATTATTCATTTGTTTTTTCTATTTATTTGACGAGATTTTAGCCGAAATGTGAATTTCTTAAGAAAACAGAAAGATATTCTGTTCTAGAATTTTATCTCACTACACAACACATCTGTTGTTATTTTAATATATTTCCATTGATAAATATTGTGATTAACATAGTCAAATAATACTGACCAAATAGAAAAAAAAAAGCAAATGGAAATCGAACGATCATCTGGTATATTAGTCCATATATCGTCGTTGCCATCTTCATACGGTATTGGTGATTTTGGACCAGAAGCCTATAAATTTATAGATTTCTTGGTGGAAACACGACAAAAAATTTGGCAAATTCTACCAATAACACCAACCAATTCGCCATCACCATATTCAGGTTAGTATAAATAGATAGACTAGTACTTTGATTATCCTTCAAATCGCATAACAATAACGATTCGATTGGAAATGCACTTCGAATGATAGTTATCCTTCTATTCATCATTCTAACCAGAGTATGGTAGACAAAAATGAAGTAACGTCAACATTGAAATTTTATCCAATACATTAGAGAAAATCGTTATTTCGGCGAGCACTGACACAAAAAATCACGTAGATGATATTAACATCACATTCTAATAAAACTAGTTCGGATTTGTTCAGAACAATGTAGACTTGGTTGTGTTTGCATTAGTTGTTTCGACAAATCTGATCCGATTCATTCACATGTGGTGCTTACGTCACTTACGTAAGAAAATTTTGATCTTTGAAGTTTAATTTTCAGCGTGAAGAAGTTTTGAAGAACGTAAACGAATTTTCTTCTCATCTTCTCACTTTTTGTTGATAAAAATTGGTTTAAACTCTAGTTATCGATGAGAAAGTTTCAGCTGTTCAAAAGAGAAAATTAGATTTCTTTTTTTTTTCTAATTTATTTTTAAAAAAAGTTTTGTTTTTGTTTTCAGGAGTATCAGCATTTGGTGGTCATTGGTGGTTGATTTCGCCTGAGAAGTTAGTCGAGAACAATTTCTTATCAAAAAATGATTTGAAAAACATCAATGTATCTAAATTTCATGATGATTATGTTGCTTATAAAGATGTACGAAATTCGAAAGAAGAACTATTAGCAAAGGCATATGAAAATTTCAAGATGAATGATAAAGAAGCAGAAAATAAATTGAAGAATTTTTTCGACGAGCAACGTTATTGGATTGATGATTTTACCTTATTTCTGACCATTAAAGAACAGGTAAGTCTAGTATACTCTGTCTCTTATAGTGATTTTATTGATTGTCACTTTAACGGCTGACTGGTGTAATTTGATGTGTTCATTTGCAGTACACAAAGTGTTTCGAAAATAAAACGGACAGAAGTCTATAATTTTTGTTTAGAAACAGAATTCGAGAATTCGGACATGATCGATTTTTTTTGCACTAAATGAAATAAGAGATTCAACCAACTTCTATTCAGCTATATGTATACCAGATCCTGTTGATTCCGACGATTGTCAAATCCGGACTCAATAAAACTTTCGACTCTAGATGAAGATTCAATAAGTTTCTGTTGTCTGATGACAGAAATAAATAGA